TTTCTCTTGTTTGTGGATGATTATACACGATATTCTTGGATATATTTGATGAGATCACGTGATGAGGTTCTTAACTTGGTACGACAAATTCCACCAGATGGTTTGCACACAATTTGGAGTGAGAACTAAGGTTTTTAGATCAGAAAATGCCAAAGAGTACTTTGAGAAGAACCTGACCACATATTTCCTAGAACATGGGGTAATTCATCAGAAAATTTGTGCATATACACCACAACAAAATGGAGTTGCTGAGAGAAAAAACAGACACATTGTGGAGGTGGCAAGGAGTCTTATGTTGTGTGCTTCAGTTCCTGTGCAGTTCTGGGGAGATGCATTTCTTATAGTCATGCATTTGATTTACCGTCTTCCTTCACAGACTTTGGGGTTTAAGGTGCCATTTAGTCTGCTTTTTCCAGATGGGGAGATATTTCATATACCTCTGAGGGTTTTTGGGTGTGTTCCCTTTGTTCACATTCTTGGCCCTCATCGCAAGAAATTGGATCCTAAGGCCAAGAAATGTGTTTTTCTTGGGTATGCTCAGAACCAAAAGGGGTATTGCTGTTATGACCCAGTGTTGAGGAGCAAATTTGTCACAATGGATGTTACCTTCTGTGAATCCACCTTCTTCTTCTCGAGTGGTTCTCCTTAGGGGGAGAGTTTTGGAGAGGAGAACTCACAATCTGTTCCTCTTCCTGTTTCTTTGGTGCCTTCATCAGTTCAACCAATACCTTCATCAGTTCAGCCAACACCTCCATCAGTTCAGCCAGCACCTCCAGTTTCATTACCTGAGCCACTATGGGCAGCCTCACAGAAATATCGATGCCGGCAAATGATGGTTGACTCCACACACCTCTCTATTAGTCTTTCTAAAACTCTAGATTCGGCAGATACAGTTCCAGGTTTTCCTCTTGAGCCTGAGCCTGTTATGTTTTATGATGATAATGTTCCTGTCCCTAACACCATTGTTGCAACTGATCCCACTGACCTTGATCTTCCCATTTCATTTCGTAAGGGGAAAAGAAAGTATACAACCCATTGCATTTCACACCATCTTTCCTATAGTGCCTTATCACCCTCCTACCGTGCTCTTCTTTCTTCCCTGGATTCTATGTCTATGGGTATACCCAGGAATGTTATTAAGGCTCTCTCCAAACCTAAGTGGAAAACAACAATGCAAGATGAGATGGATGCTTTGGTTAAAAACCAAACTTGGGAAATAGTTGATCTCCCCCTAGACAAAGAGATAGTCGGATGTAAATGGGTATTCACAGTGAAGTATAGGGTTGATGGAAAAATAGAGAGGTACAAGGCAAGGTTGGTAGCAAAAGGGTATACTCAGACCTACGGTGTTGATTATCTGGAAATCTTTACACCAATAGCTAAGATGAGTTCAATCCGTATCCTTTTATCTCTAGCAGCCACCTATTCATGGCCTTTGTTCCAGCTTGATGTCAAAAATGCCTTCCTCACTGGTGATTTACAGGAGGAGGTATATGTGGACATTCTAGCAGGCTTTTATGAGAATGTTGGTAAGGGAAAGGTGTGCAGACTCAGAAAATCTCTGTATGGACTGAAACAGTCACCTAGGGCTTGGTTTGACAGGTTCAAAGGGGCACTCATCCGTTTTGGATACACACAGACACAGTCTGATCACACTCTCTTTGTGATGAGGACAGATGCTCTGGTGTCGATTCTGATTGTGTATGTGGATGATATAGTGGTGACAGGAAATGATTTGAAGGAGATTGATGATCTCAAAAAATCATTGTAGCAAGAATTTGAGATCAAAGATCTTGGTGAGCTCAAATACTTCTTGGGGATTGAAGTTGCAGGATCCAAGCATGGGATCTTTATTTCACAGAGGAAGTATGTACTTGACCTATTGCGGGAGACTGGGAAGCTGGGGACCAAACCAGAAGACACTCCTATTGATCCAAATCACAGARTTAATGGTGTGGATGGTGAGTTGGTAAAGGATGTAGGGAGATATCAAATAATGGTGGGCCGACTATTGTATTTGTGTATGACACGACCAGATATTTTTTATGCTGTCAATGTTGTCAGTCAGTACATGCATGCACCTTGGGTTCAGCACTGGGAAGCTATTGAGAGGATAGTTGCATATCTGAAAAAGCACCCTGGCAGAGGCATTCTTTTTTCAAATCATGAGAATCTGAAGCTAGAGTCCTATACAAATGTTGACTGGGCAGGATGCTTAGATGACAGGAGGTCTACATCAGGAGTGTGTACCTTTGTAGGTGGAAACTTGATCTCCTGGAAGAGTAAGAAGCAAGCGGTTGTGGCAAGGTCAAGTGCAAAGGCTGAGTATAAATCCATGTCTCATGGTGTCTCAGAACTTCTTTGGGTTAGATCTCTTTTGAGTGAGATTGGGATAAAAGCAGAGGAACCTATGATGTTATACTGTGACAATCAGGCTACAATCAATATTGCCCACAATCCAATTCGGCATGATAGGACAAAACACATTGAAGTTGATAGACACTTTATAAGAGAAAGGGTAACAACCAGAGAAGTCTGTTTGCCTTATGTCTCTTCAGAGTTGTAGCTGGCTGATGTTCTCACTAAAGGGGTGGCAAAGAACAAGCTTGAACATGATCAATGCAAGTTGGGAATGTGTGACATTTACTCCCAACTTGAGGGGGAATGTTGAAGATTAATCAGTTTTATGATGTTCTTTATGAGTAGATGTTTTATGTTAGTTGTTAGATAGGAGGTGGGGACCACAATAGTTATGTGAGTCCAAATTTTATTATGTTTTTGTGTCTTATATATGTTGTTTTATGTCTTGCCGCCCTATAAGGGCATAGTTGTCTTTGTACTGCTCTATTATTTTTAACATAAATAATAAGTGAAGGGGGCGGCCAGACTATTGCTCTCCTTTCTTTTCAACTTATCTTCTTCTCTTCTTCTCCTTCTCTCTTCCTTCTTTCTTCAAGAAACTCCTTTTATTTCATATTTTTTAATTCAGCAAGCTTTCTACTGTAACCCTTTTGTGAAGAAGGGTAGCTCAAAAATACACATGGAATAGCACGAGAGTCAAGTTTACCACGGGTATGAGACAAGTTTTGAACAAAACAACGACAACCAAACACACGAAAAGGGATAGAAAAAAGAGGAGTTGTAGGAAAGAGGAGCTAATGGGGCCTTGTACCCTAGCAAGCGAGATGGCATTTGATTGATGAGATAGGCAGCACATAACACAACATCTAACCAAAAACGTTTTGGAATGTTCGTGTGGACAAGTAACCCATGAGCCACTTCAAGGAGATGGCGGTTTTTTCTTTCTAAAACACCATTTTGTTGAATTTTGGCACAAGAGCTACGGTGGATAAACCCACACGAAGCAAAAAACTCCGTGAGGTCATTGTGGAAGTACTCTTTCGCATTGTCAGATTGGAAAATTTGAATCTCCGTCTGAAACCGAGTGAATATCATGCATTGGAAGTCTTTTATAATTTTTGGCACTTCATCTCTGGACCGCATGGGATACTCCCATGTATATCTGGAGTAGTCATCAATAAGTGTAATGAAGTATTTATAGCCAAACTTAGATGGTAAAGTAACAGGGCCCCAAACATTAGGAAAAGGAAATTAGATTTATTATTTCTTGAAAAAAAATGATTTCTACAATGTTTGCTCTACTAACAAGTTTGACATTTAAATTCAGACATTGGCATTGCTTTAAACAAATCTGGAAGAAAGACCTTTAGTGACTCAAAAGATAAATGACCCAAGCGACTATGCCATAAATAGACCTGAATCTCACTAGACTGACTTGTAGACTCAATAACCGCAAGACTAGCTTTGTTCTCCAACATGTAAAGACCATCCACCATACGACTTCTACCAACCATCTTCCTCAAGTCCAAATCCTACAGTACACAAGAAGAAGGGAAAAATGTCACTAAACAATTTAATGAGTTTGTTATGCTACTGACAAAAAACAAATTTATAGGCAATTGTGGAACATGTAACACATTAGAAAGGATAAGTCCAAAAGGAAGGGATACAGTGCCTTGACCAGCAATGGTGGAAAAAGAGCCATAAGCTAATCTCATTTTGTCCCTACCAGATAAAAAGTGATAGGATTGAAAACAATTTGACTTACTCGTCATATGATTTGAGGCTCCAAAGTCAATTATCCAAGGTGAATCTAGTGAATAAGATGACACATGGAAGGTAGTGGTAGAGTTACCATTACCTGAAGTAGATGCAAAGGAAGTTGAGGCAGGAGGAGTAAAATCCATCTGGCAAATTGCCCTCCCACACAACTCCAAATGGTCACAGAAAGAGTTAATGATATCTTCCCGGGGATCGGTTCCAAGAAGGCTGGTAGTGGTAGATTGCTGAGACTCCTGAGAGGCTAAGTTTGCCATATTGAACTTTTTTTTACCTTGTTGTACCGGCTTCTTATTCTGATCTGATTTCTTACCCAACTCCTGAGCCCACTATGGCTTCCATGGAGGTCCCAACATGTATCCCTGGTATGTCTAGCCTTCTGACAATGAGTACACCATAACTTATCCTTATCATCCACTTTCTCCTGGAAGTCACCCTTCTTAAAAGAATTGTTGCCTCCTACACCCGCACTCCTTTTTTCCACTAAGGGAATTTGCTCCCCTCTGAGTTATTCATCACATTCCACGTGCTCTCTTCGGATTGTACTAGGGCATACACTTCTTGTACTGAAGGAAGATCTTTACTTCCTAATATCTGAACTCTAAGAGACTCATATATTGGGTTCAGCCCCAAGAGGAAGGAAAAGACCTGTTGCTAAGAAACTAGAGACTTGTAGGCCTTAGCATCAGCATCACACTTCTAGTCTATGTTCTGATAGTGGTCCAGTTCTTTCCATATCGAGGTCAAATTTGAGAAATATGATGAGAGACTCATTTCCCCCAACTTACAAGTAGAAGAGGCCGCTCGCAACTGGTATATTTTGGCATAGTGACATTGCTCTAAATAAGTAGATTTTGCCTGCTCCCAAATTTCAACAGTTGTTTTAGCCTACATGAATGTCTTACTGACCGGAGGCAGAATGGAAAGTAGCAGCCATGACATCACCGTGCTGTTTTCCCGATCCCACCTATCATGCTCTGCACCCTAAGACTTCAGTTCTTTGGTTTTACCATTAATATAGTCCACCTTCCCCCTAGCATTATGTACAGTTTAATTCCCCTTGACCATTCTAGGTAATTGAAACCATCAAACGGTATTACAGCCATGGGGAAGCTCATATCAAATCTTCCACTCACTCCACCTTGATTGGAAGGCCCACTAGACACTAGAATCCTCAGATAACATGATATAAGATCTGATTTGACAGTTCAGTTCAGTTCAGTTCAGCCACAGTTCACAGTTCCACGGGAATCCCAGTTTAGTTCAGTCAAACAACAGATATTAGGAACACCACACACATAAAAGGAGACAACTCAGGAACTAGGCAGCCCTTATATATAACCCTTCATCAACTACTTGAGCACACATCCACTATAATTCCCCAAGAGACATTAGCAAACCACTGTCATACAATCACAGGTCATTCAGACCTACACCACCTAGTTGTCTGGGTACAAGAAACAGGATCACCCGATCCACAGTTCCAAAAAAAACACAGTGATTGCAGGTCATCCAGACCTCTAAAACCCACTTACCTGGGTACAAGAAAATATCACACGATCCACAGGATTAAGAAGATTTGCCTTCACAGCATCAGAGTTCCCTTCTTTTACGGTTTTCTTGGCACACGACCAAGAAAGAAAGGAAGAGAACCTAAAAGAAAGCCCTCCAGATCAGTTCAATCCACTCCCTAATCAGATTCGATCCACAGTAGAGGAGGAACTTAGAGATTGAGGAAGAAGAAACTGAGAAGACTTTGTCGCACTGCTTCTAACCCCAGAAAACCTGCTCTGATACCATGTTTTCTAGGTTGAACATATCAGAGAAACAGAAAAGAAAGGAGAAGAAAGGAAGAGAGAGAAGAGAAGAGAGACGAAGAGAATTCTGGGATCAAAAAGTTATGACTGGCGGCGCCAGTCATTAGTATTTATATTAGGGCGTCCCAACTAATAATAAAAGAAAGTAAGATTACAAGAATGCCCCTGCGGCACTAAAGAACAGAAAAAATAACAAAGAATTAATTAATTAAATAAGGAAACTAATTAACTAACAGATTTCAACAATTTCAATTATTTATCTATTGTTTTGATCAGTAACTGTGAACATATTTTATTGATATTCTATTTGATAGTAGCATTGTATTAATATGTGAAATAGTAAGACAATTTGTACGCAATGAAACAGAATAGGAAAGAAAATCCAGGGATAAATCAAACATTTCTTTTCTCTTTTTGATAAGTAATTTCAGCTACAAAGCATACATCATTGAGCACAGGCAAGGTTGAGTTGCCTGAACCTCTAAGCCCAACCTGATTTTTGGTTACCCACCTCACGCACAATTACGCAGAAAAAGGCAGCCCAGCCAAACACTCGAGCAGTTTTATTTTAAAAATAGAAGAATACATTTGTTAGAGAAAGCAGAAAATGGATAAAGTGAATAAAGGACATGAAGAGAAAGACCATAAAATAGACAACTCCAACTTGTCCACACTCCACACCCATAATAGAATAATAAACACCTATCTTGAAGACCTAGTTGAAAGGTGGTATTTTTGTGTCTTAGTCATGAAGGATTTTAGGAGAACCATGAGATCAAGTTTACTAATCTGTTTTCTGTTTGAACAACAAATTCCCCAAATGCTTATTTCAGAAAAAAAAAAAGGAAAATGCCTTTCGTTAATTTTCTGAAATTAAAAAAAAAAAGAATTTCCCATAAAGTTTCTCCACTGCATGCCATTGCAGAACTGTTGAGGATTTTACAGCCTTCTTACTTGTTTTTATTTATTATTTGTTTAGTTGGTAAGTGGGGACCACGACCCATTATTTGGAAGTTATTAGAATAGTGTTTTTTATGTTTTTTTAAGCTATTTGCACCAGCCGCCCTATTAAGGGCATATTTGTCATTGTACATACTTTCTAATTAAAGTGTAAATATCAATAGAAGAGGGTGGCCAGATTAAGATTGCCTTCTCTTCCTTTCTCCACTCTTTCTCTTCTTCTTTCTCTCACAAAAATCTTCTTCTCTTTCACTTCTTTCTACAGTTTTTTATTTTCGGCAGATTTCCACTCAGACTTCCCTTTTTTTGTTGAAAGATATAAAATAATGTATTGTATTGGTCGTTGAAAGGAAAAAAGTGACTACTTTGTATATTCCCTTTGTACAGCACCCAGCTGTAGAGGCATTTTTTGCATTTCAAAGATCAATAGAATACATTACTTTATCATTGCAGGTTTCCCATACTTTCAAATAAGAGATTGAGTACAAATACTTCCAAAGCTAACCAGTTAAAGTCAAAGACTTGGATAATTCATAACGAGTCAAACTGCATTTCCTGCTAATATTGATTTATCATCATGGGTCAGGGAGCAATTTCATGCAAAAAAATCTGAAGATCTTTAGTGACTACTGACTACTCCCTATAGGAATTTCAAAATCCACAATTTTGATGGATTTTACACCTAGACTCTTCTGTCAGCAGGGAACAGTTTTTTTTTTTTTTAATTAAACAGCAAAATGGTAAATCATGAAACTGCTGCATTGGGGCCCAAAACCCCTCACCCTATTCATCTTATTCCCTAAACTAAGAACAGTCTCAGCTCAGTTCTAGAGTTCCATTACATGGTAAGAATCAAAACCTACAGATCTGATACAAGAGACTGTATAGTCTAACAATGAGAGGCATTTTTTGGACTCGAGTCTGCTCTAAACACTCCTCTCATTTGCATTCTCTTCATCTATATAAAATGGTTCATCTTACTAAACTTCATGGTAACTGATAAAACAAGGTTCATATTACTGTCAAAAAGGAAAAGGTATAAGAGGCTGTGTACACTAAGAAAAGATTTCTTTTTTTTGTATATATAACATTCATTAAGGCTCAGTTTGGGAAGAGTGCAAATACAAATATGTACAATGCAAAACCTTGTATACGGTATTTCTAATACCTTGTATTTGCACTCTACATATTTGTATTTGTACTCTTCCAAAATTGAGCCTAAAAGAAAAAAAAAGTAGAGTACAAAAATTAGATGATAAGGAATCACCTGAGAAGGAAAATAACAAAAGCAAACAACACAATCACCCTTCAACAATATCAATCATCCAATACATTCACCCCATAATTCAAACAAAAAATCTCTTACAACAAAGACCAGTTCTATAAATCTAAAGCAGCCAATAAATACCATTTCTAACAGAAATTAACCACATAGAATTCCCAATCAAGGTACAAAGCCATACTCCAAAGGCCAAGACCTTTTCTTATCACATCTCAAAGCACCATGCACCCACCTCTCCCTATGTTGAGCTTCAAAGTTTTCCCCTGATATAAGGGTGTCTCTTCTAATAAAACCCCGAAGTTTTCTTATTGCCATTGTTACTCTATTCCCCTTTCTCACTTCATTTAACACAATCCCCTAACCACATTAAAACCCCTCAAACACCACAACACCTTCCATGTTTGATGTGTCTCATCTATTCCTCCTATATCTCCCCTCTTTCCCCTTCATCATTAGGTTCATATATGTTTAACAACAACCACACCCACTCCTGACACCTCATCCACTATTTTGAAACACAGTGAAAGGGAAAAATTAACCTTTCTGTCCCCCACCTCCATAAACAGCTTTGGATGCCACACGATAACCCTACCCCTTGCTACACCCACAGCCAGAATTTCAACCCATTCCCCAATATTCAAACCTCATACTTCATTCCTCACCCCCATATCGAAACTCTGTAATTTAATTTTTTTTACAACAAAGTTATATTATCTTATTCTACCTTACCTGTTACCTCCTTCTAAAGTTCCTTAACCCCATAAATTCCAAGACAGGATCCTCCATGCCCCAGTTCAAAAGTAATAAATTCTCCATTATAACTTTTCTCCCCCCTCCATTGAAAATTAATTGATGAAACTAGAAAAAGGATTAAAGGAAAAATTAGGTTTGTGGATAAATGCATTAGAAACAAAAAATTTTAAAATAAGGACTAAAACAGAATATAAGCAAATATAAATCTAATAATAGTAGAAGTGCAAATCAGGGTAGACTTAGGATTTGAGACCAAGAGATAACTCAATGTGATCTCACTTGTTATCTTGGTTCAATAATAATTCATAACAAAGGATAGATTGAGGAGGACGTTTCCCATAGAATTAGAGCAGGATGAACAAAATGGAGGGGTGCATCCAAAGTCTTATGTGAGGTGAATACCACGTCAGCTAAAAGGAAATTACTATAAGACAGTTGTAAGGCTAGCTATTTTGTATAGGGCAGAGTGTTGGGCAGTTAAGAAGCAGCATGCCCAAAAAAATGAGTGTAGCAGAAATTCTAATGCTTAAATGGACGAGTGGTAAAAACTAGAAAAGGGCATGGTTAAAAATGAAGTCATATGAAGGAACCTAGGAGTAGATCCAGCCTCCAAGAGGTGATATAATGAGTGAAAGTAAATTGAGATGGTTTGGTGACATGCATAGAAGACCATTTACAGCACCTGTTAGGAAAAGTGATCCGTTACAAGTTGAAGGGGCTAGAAGAAGAGCTAGGAGCAGACCAAAAAGGACTTGGGTGCAAATAATAAGAAATGATTTAAGCACCCATGATTTAAAAATAAAGATGGCATTGAACAGACAGATGGCGAAACAAGATTTGTGTAGCTAACCCCATATAGTTGGGACAAAGCTTAGATGATGGTGATGTAAATTTTCTCTCCCCCAATTCACCAATTCAAATCCTTCATTCCCCTATCTCCTATCTCCTATCTCCTCCTAACCACACCACCAGAACTCCCCTCCCCTTCCCCTTCAAACCCTCCTAATCCTTCTCAACTACACTGATCCTTCTTCCCCCACGAGTTCCTACCACTCTTTCAACCTTCCCTCTTCTGTCTCTCTCCTCTAACTCCTTAAAATCCTTCTGGGCAAACACTTTACCACCCAAAATAAACCAAAATATTTACCAACTTCCATTTCTTTTTCTACCATTCAATTCTTCAAGTTGTTGTATAAAGTAAACATCCTCTTAAAGAAAAATGTTTCATGTTCCATGATATTCAACAAATATAAGGAGGACCCAAAATCATAGACAATAAATTGCTAAATTTTATGTTATATCTTAAGAATCATGCAGCTATTCACACATCCCTCCTTTACTTCACATGGAATGAACTTGTGTCTCAAACTTAAAAAGGTCCATAATATCAAATAATACCTTCAACAACTTACCCCAGGATCAACATGTTCAGAACCTAGCAAAGGACTCATTATGTGGAGAGAATATAGTTGCCCAACATTCTCCTTTGAAGTGGATGACAACAGGTCATTTGTATCTTTCCACAGAAGGCATTCTTGGACAGAGAAAACTGAGGTACCATTCATGGATTGGGATATGTTTTTGGGAGCCTTTTGGAGACGTATTACTTTTCCAACCTATAACAGTCAACCAGAAGACAAAAACTGAAAGTGAATAGGATAGATTTTAGATATGAAGTACACTTGCCCACAGAATTTGAAGATTGTAAAGCACAAGCAGTTCATATACATACAATATACATAAACAATTATGAATATAACTTTCATAAGTTGGGTAGAAAAAGTGGGATAAATATATATGCAAACAGACAAGGATGATGAAAAGAAAAACTAAAAAATTAATAAAATGGGGAGATATATACAAAGTTAAGAATCACAGGATCATAAATACAAACATTCTATTCATAGGGAGTAGGTTCAAGGTATCCTTGTCTCTTTCAATTTTTTGCTTCTCCCGTACCAACCAAATATTTCAACTTTCAACGGTGAGCAAAATGGGATAAGCATGTTTATAAAAAAGCAAACCAAGTAAGACTCTTCAGTTACTACCAAAAAGGACCGTCTCACAAAGTTTATGTACTTGAGAATGCATGCATCAAAGAAGGCAATAAATGTGACATATATGGAATGAGTAACTTGAATGTTACTAAGAGAACAGAGATAGAAAAAACTTCAAGAAAAGTGATTTTGAAATGTCATGATAGAAGCAATGATTTGTTAGCTAGGAGACAGGACCGCAAAAAGTTGAACTTGTGAAGCATTTTTTCAAAGAATGATTGTTGAAATAATTGTACTTCAACTTTCAGAATCTAAAGTGGATTCATTAGAGGGATGTTACCAGAAATTGAAATGAAATCATTTCAGGACTCGAGGAAAAGTTATGTGATGAAAGTGAGAGTCCAAATGTTAATAAAAAATTAAATTAAACAATTTGGGTTTCCAACAGCCCCATCAGCAGATTATGTCAAGCTCAAGTATTCCCTTATGTGGTGCTTAGATTGCAACGGAAAAGGAAAAGCGAGATGGAAATAGAAACCAGATTCTCCAACTTACCAGATTCTGGGTTTGGATGAAAAAACAAGTGCCAACTAAAATCTGGGAAGTAGCAAATATTAGGCGTATTTTCTTTCTTTCTGTTGGAAACTGGCTTCTGCAGTCAGTGAGTCATTTTGCTTGTGCAAACCAAAATCCAATCCAACCCCGTCACATAGGGCCTGGAATAGGTTCTAGATCCAATAATTGGATTGCTTCCAACTCTGGAGGCCTGATAATAGCTCTGTTGGTACTGAGCATAATATGTCTTGGCCTAGTAAAGACTCATGCTAATTTGCTATCTTTTTTTTTGTAATAAAATAAAAATCATTAAGATAAAATTTAACATTTGGAGGAATCCTCGGTTGTTTAGCCTTTTTCACTAAATGATCCAACTAGCAGAGCCGCTCCCTAATATCATATTAGCCCTATAAAAACAATCTTGTATTGTTATTATGCCTAATTGAAAATAATCATCCAAGTTTTTAATTTTTAAATTGGAAAGGAGACTATCAAAGAGGTTTTTTTTTTTTGTCAAAGAGGGTTTATTTCAAACACATGGCAATTCCTTTTATGCAAAACTTTTTTCCATATAGAGGATAAGGAGGAGGAACATGGATGCTCCCTTTGAGCTAGAAACTTGCCATGTAGAAGTTTCTTGAATCGTTTAGGGAAGCTTGGTAAACAACCTGATTAGGAAACTTGTTCCCACATGCTTACATATAGGGATTGGATGTTTTGGCTCAGATCTGGGGACACAGGGCTACTAGATATGGTTTGGGTTCCTTGTAACTTACCATCATTGGATGGGTCCCACCACCTATGTATATAAAAAACAAGCATGATTATATGTCTTTAAATCAAATTCATGCATTTTTTTCAAAACATTCAGAAAGATTTAAATAGAACTTTTGACAACCATCCAACTTTTTGCTTCAAAATTTGGCATTTTATTTAAGAATTTAAGCTGATTTTTTGCACAGCTAGTCTTCAAGGTAGGACACAATATAGGATGGGTCCTGATCAACATAATCTATGATGGGTGGCTCGTAATAAGACCACAACCAGTGATAGGTCCTTTGTCTCCATACCCAAGCTTTGTCATATACATTTATGACATTTTGTGAGTTGATTGTAATCAGTTATAACGTGATAAGGTTAATAAAAGAGTCCTTGGACGGGTGCAAAATCGAGTGGACACGTGGCAAGCAAGATTGTTGTCACAGGCAGGGCGTACAACTTTGGTGCAAGCGGTGGCTCAAGCCCTCTTTATTTACCAAATGACCACGGGTCTTCTACCTAAAAAAGTCTTATTGAAAATGGAGGAGACGAAACGAAGCTTTTGGTGGCATGGAAGAAGGAAATTCACTGCAATTGCATGGGCAAAGATAACCAGTCCTAAGGAAGAGGATGGGTTAGGTTTAAAGTCTATGGAAGAATGGAATAAAGTCTTACTGTTTAAACTGTTATGGAGATTGATGAATGAGAAAGAAGCATTGTGGGCCCGAGGCATACGAGCAAAATATTTGCAGAACAAAACATGGTATGATGCCAAGCCGGCTTCGAATCATTCACTTTGGTGGAGAAGTATCTTAAAAGTAAAGGAGAAGCTGAAAGATAATTTCATTTGGAAGATAGGAGGTGGGAAAGATGAAGAACCATGGGTACCATTATTACCGGAAGGCATACCCAAAGGGAGAACAGAGGACCAACTCCAAAGACCACGACTAGAAGTAAAAGATTTGTTAACAGATCAAGGCCTTTGAAATAGAGAGTTGGTGAATAGATGGTTTGAAGAGGAAGAGGGTGAAGCTATCCTAAGTCTGTTACCCAGTCGAGTGCAAAGTAGTGATCAGCTACCGTGGAAGCCAGCACTAGGGGGACAATATAGAGTACAATCGGCCTATAGAAGTCTTTGTGGACATGGCCACAATTCCCCTTAACTAAAGATAAACTATGGAGGAGGAAACTAAGGAATGAGAAAGAATGTGAGGTGTGTGAAATGAATGAGGAAACAGAATACCATTTGTTTGTGGCATGCCCTTTTGCCCGCGCCATATGGTTACAAGCTGGAATCGGTTTTAACCCAGAATACTTCAGCGAGAACTCATTAATGGTGATAATCAATGGATGGCGACAAACATTAGAAGGGTTGAAGGCGGAAAAAGCAGATCTATTGAAGAAGTGGGCAGTTTATGCAAAATTTATTTGGGAGAAGCGCAACAAGCTAATATTCAACGGTGAATCCATCAACCCTTGTCACTTCACCCATGGAGCCAGCAATATTTAGCAAAGGTTGGATGACAATCCAACCACACAACCAAACAACACAAATAGGACGCAACACCAAAAACATCTTAATGTTGATCCTGATTCTTATGTTATATCACTGATGGATCATCTGTAAATCATCTTGTAGCTTCTGCAGCCTATGTTATTATATCTCCTCACAACTCTTTTGTTACAGCAGTAGGATGCAAATGTAAAGCTCGACAACAGTACATGTAGAATGGTGGGTGATAATCCACGATATGCACAAAGCTCGTCAACCGGAGCTGTGTAAGCTTGTGATATGTACAGATGCACAAAACATTGTAAATAGTATGCACACAGAGCAGGGTAAACTGAAATTGAAATGGGAGGAACAGGCTATGTGGGAACAGGTTTACTTTTTGAAATCCTTTTTTGCTAAGTGTATCTTTTTGTATGTTCCTAGAGCCAAGAATAGTGTGGCGCATGAGTTAGCTTCTAGGGCTAGATTGTCTGAGCACAGTCAGCTGGAATTTCACGATGAACCTCCGGACAGGATGAGAAAATTATTTTGCACTCATCCTTCCCCAAAGGAGCTTTGTAACCTCTCTAGGTAAGCAATGAAAGCTTTTTATTGGTTTGCCGAGCAAAAAAGAAAAAAGAGTCAGTTCTGGACCTGTTACTAGCATCTGGACAGCTTTACTGAATCTGTTGCATTTTGATCAAAAATTCTGTTGCATCCACCTTTACTGAACAGCTTTCTCAAATGACACAATGTCCCATTACTAAAAGCAACGAAAGCTTTTTGTATGACAAGCATTGCTCCAAGGATTTTATTCTGCTTGGGAAATTGGGATTTCACTGGTCTGTCAAAGCCACTATACTACAGGAAAGGCTATTTTGGGAATTCTAATGAAATAACAAGTGCGTTTTAGTAAATAAACAGTACTTTGCTTAAAGACATAAGAGGCATATTCCATCAGAGTTCAGACCCGAGAGTGAATGGGACCCAATTAACCCACAATTGGATCGAGTTTTGACATTTTTCCTGAAAATTGTTGCGCCCTCTTTTTTTTCTCTTTCTTCGTTTGGCGAACATGTTAGGTTTGGACTTTAGGAAGCGCATAAGAAGAGAATCTTGATCTTTCTCCTCACTGAAACTGAATGAGCCGTGCTCCTCGATGGCAATCTCTTTTTGTGTAGTGCTTTTTAGCTTTCCTACTTCTTTTTGTATGTTATAGGCATTGACCAAGTTTTTAATTGGCCATTTGCCCCACTTTTCAACTCATTGATATTGAGATATTTATCATTTACCATCATCAAAGATGAAATCAAAAGCACGGAATTTAATCGAACGGTTGACGTACAAAAGAAGGAGATGATCCTTTGTAAGCAAGCACAAGATTAGCCGCTCCTTCGCCTCTGTAAATCCAATCCGCTGCATCTTTCTCTTCCAAAACCAGTTCCGTGCATTCAGTCGGAAGCCTGCAAGCCAATTCGATTGTCCTCATCATAAAGAAAGAGAAACAGAGTAAATAACAAACAAAATACACAAATAAACAATGATTCTTCGTCCTTAACCTCGAAACCTCTTGCATCTCCTTCCGAAATCAAGGAGCGATGAAGATTTCACTTCGTGCTCAAGAAAACCCTTAATTCCTCTTGCGCCGTAGAGAAATTGACACCAATCAATTAACAGCCCAATCCTAATATAAACACGACATGAAGAAGGGAAATTTAGCACAGCGACCCCTCAGAAGTCAGAATTCAGAATTCAGAAAGTATAGAGAGTGAGAATTAAAAAAAATAAAAAATAAAACCTGACCTTCCGTATTCGTGTTGCTCTTTACTCTCTTAAGACTGTACTGCAAAGCGAAAATTTTCTCTACCTTTACGTTAATTACGCGGCGGGGATGTGCTGTGGGACGTTGTGAGGGAAAATCTTGTGGGGGCTGAATTGAACTCGGAAACGGTAGGATCGCGTCTGTTTTGCCTCTCTGCACAGATTTCTGTCCACCCAATTAGGAAGAGACAGCTGTCCCTAAACATGAGATCTCCTACCCGCCTGCGAAGGTAGACACGTTCCCTACGTCCCTCTCTTCCTCTCGATGGGCTACTCCGTCGTCTGCTCTGGTTTTAGAACTTCATCCCACTCCAGAAATAGAATCACCATGTTCTTCGAAATCCCACTAGTGGAAGAAGAAACCGAGGCAGGGATTTCCGGTGATTAGAAAGTGGGAGGCAGATTTTATGTCAACTCCATGTCCGGTATGATGGAGCATTCTTTGTCAATCGTTGAATCAATCCATGAAGGGGTCGCTGATAGCGTTCGAGTCTTTTCACCAGCTGAAGAACGGTGGGTTTCTTCTCCAACGGGATAATGGTTGTTTTCCGGTGAACCTAGGTTGGAGATCTATGACTAAAAAACTTAACACTACACCCAGAACTCCAGAAGTTAGAAAGGAGAACAGACCAACAAGCACAGCGAACGGAAAACATTTTTAATACCAACGACACTCACAAGTTGGAAGGAACAGACGCTGAGATCGCATTACCTAACTAACACAGACAAGTAAGAAAAGAGCTGGATACAGAGAGAATGACTGGCAGGAGAGAGAGAGAGTCATAGGATAGAGGGGCCGGAAAACAGACCACCCTATCCCGGAAAAAAAAATGACGGATTATTTAACGTTTAACACGTTTATCTCAACTTGCACCATGTAGCTGGTCGCGGACTCGCTCACAGTAGGAACTGTATCATTTCTTCCGCTTCTTCGTCGGATGGGAAATTGGGAATGGGTGAGTGTATTCGATTTCGCAACTTCGCATTGCCATCGACCTCCGATAGACTTGAAGTCTTGAACGCAATTTCGTAGGAAGCCTAACGATTTCACAGAATCGAAGTGTCCTAATGGGGAAACTATAATTTATTGTCATCACTTTTTCTAAAATTGTCTTTCCCGTATTAACATCCATATCCACATTTATATATCTATCAATCATTGTAGCGCGACTTGGAAGGAGAAGATGAAGGAACACTCCAATGCTTAAGTTAGAACTCGGTGGAAAGCTAGTAAAGGAAAATGAGCCAAGAGTGGAGATGCACACTTTTCGATTACCAAAATTACCATTGCCCCTTGGAAATCGGGATCTTTATATAATGAAGCTCTGTCAAATCGGGTGTAACCGCCTTTGATTCTCTACTACAGCCGTTATTCGCCAGACTGATTCAATTGATGCAGGTATCCGTCACAGAGTACGGTCCTGTCAGTTGAAGGATGTTGTGCAGAGCTGGCATGCACGACGTCGCCTAACGTTGAGACGTGGGCGCAGTCCTCTGGACTGGCAGGTACTGCACCGCCAGACAAGAGACGTGGGAGCAGTCTGACAAGCACGGTCTTGTTGGACAAGAAGTTTCCCGAAGACTCTGGGTTACTCAATAGCGAGCTCCTTTGTAACGAGCTCCCTTATAGCGAACTCCTTCGTAGCGAGCTGCTTTGCAGCAAGCCATTCTGTAACGAGCTGTAGCGAGCTGTTCTGCTGGGGTTTCAGCGAGCTCATTACGCCGAGTTGTGGCCAATCTATCATGTTGAGTTGTCACTTACATTGAGTCATATCCACGTGTCCCTTAGTTAGGAGGTCGGGTCAAATCACCCTCCATCAATTGCCCCCCACTCCCCGGGCTAAGAGTCTTACTCTAGCGCAGGGAGTTCATGAAGTGATGGGTGGATTTGACCCATTATTTAAACTAGGTTGACTTATCGCATGATGTATACGCGGGGATGTCAGGTGATTTCTGGATTTTTCGGGCGCCAAAAAATGCGCCAAGCTGCCTTCAATTTCGAAAGACGTGCAGCCAGCTTTATTTCAGTCTCGGAGGATGTGCAACCGACTTTATTATAAACCGTTGGTTTTTTTGGCATAGTGGCTATAAATAGGAGGGCCCCAAGCCTCATTTTCTTTATGCCAACTTGCCTTGCTTTCAGTTTTGAGGTCACGCCTTCACCTTGTTTTCTCGAGCTCTCCCCGTTTTCGTCGCTTTCTCAATTCACTTTTCTGGTGAGTCCTCTACTCTGTCCAAACAATGTCTGGGTATCCGTACTACGGTGGCTTTTCCCGAGATGGTAATCAGGACAAGGTCCCCTTGAGCTCGGGGGGAGCTTGGGGGTTCCCTAACAGGCTCCGGAGGTCCGAGAGGCCTCCGGTAACTCGGCTTCCACTTCCCAGGGTCGGGAGCCGGATAGCTTCGACCCTTCCTCCATGTCAATGGAGAGGCTTTGAGCCCTATTCTTTCAGTATGACCACCCAAGGGATCTTATTTACAGCCTCCCATCCGGTAACTATCCTTGGGAGCACGGCCACGACGAGATCGTGATCTTTGAGGAGCAGCTCATGGCTGGTCTCCGACTCCCTCTACATCCTTTGATAGTGGAGGTTCTTACCCATTTCAATGTCACCATAGACCAACTCCACCTGAACTCAATCAGGAATGTGGTTGAGACAATTTCTCTGTTTTTTGAGTATTGTCTTCCTCTCTCCCATGATATCTTTGCCATTATACTATCGATCAAGAATGCCTCCCTCGGAGCCCCTCTACAAAGGCGCTCTTATTACTTTTCCCCCCGTCCTGGTTTCAAGCTCCTCCACGAGCTGCCAAACAGGATCTCAGCCTAGAAGCGGGGTTATGTTGTAGTTCGCAACCCCGAGGGGTGGCCCTTTCCGACCTACTGGAGGGCCGCCGTTCAGGATTCGGGCATTGAGTTGAGGACAAGGGGTAGGCTTCCTCTGTTCGGATTACCTAGCTGAGGACAAGCAGGTCGGCCTGAGCCCCGATAGGTTACCTTTAGGTCGCCTTCATTTTTTTTTTTGCGAGCTAGACTAATGCCTTGCGATTCTTGCAGCCAACATGTCTGGTGTGGATGCACATCGCCTGTTGTCGAGCAACCAGAAGCGTAGGGCAAAGAGGTCGCGCCCCAACCAAGTGTCCATTTCTGGGGATACCGAGTTCGAGGCTGTGGACCCAGCCTTTGTTCCGCTGCCAGAGGTCCCACTTGTGCCCTTCGAGGGAGTAGCCGCGGGAGGCGGCGAAGAAGAAGAGGTCCCACCCCAGAAGCAGTGCCCTCCAGTCGTGCATTCTGGCCCCATTATCTTCCCACGGTTTCCTACCGAGGGAGGGACGAAAGCGTCACCAACTTCCTCGTAGCCTTGCGGAGGAGCCGGCAGGCGGTTGGTCATGAGGAGATCGCGGACTAGGCCGGGATGCACCCTAGGTAGCTCTCCAAGCTGGCCTCGGCTCACTGCATGGTGGTAAGTGTCTGCTTCTTCCCTTCCCCCCCCCCCCCTTTCTTTTTTTTTTACTTACCTCGGCTTTCTATTGGTAGCTGAACTCTGCCATCCACGCCATGGCCTGTCAGACTTCTATTCACTCCCAGGACGCCATCAATCAAAGGTCGGAAGTGCGGAGGCTCCAGCGCAAGGCCCAGGAGCTACTCGTTAGGGACCAAGAAGCACGGATCTCCCGGTTGTCTGAGGAAAGCGCCCGTTACCGGGAGGAGTCTTCGAGGGTGGCGGCGGAGAGGGAGCTTCTTCGTCAGCAGGTCCAGGCTTGGAGTCCACGCTCCATGAGTGGACCCGAAACTTCGACGCCGCGGTAGAGGAAGAGCGGGCTAAGGCGGTGGAGGACTTTAAAGAATCCCAGTAGTTCCATGACCTCCAGGTTGAGTACGGCTCGAAGTCCAACCACTCGGGGTTCAAGCTTTGCCGATGGCTGGCCTGGAAGAAGTTCTATGGTCTTAACCTTAAAGACGTAACAATGAGGGACCTGGCCCTAGAGACGGCGGACACTGCGGAGGAGGAGGAGCCCGACTCTTTGCAGGAGAGCGATGAGGACGTAGAGGAGCTGGGACCTTGAGGCTAGTAGCTCTCTCTTTTTTTTCTTCTGAAATGAATCTTTTGAAGTGGTTGCTCCCGGGCGGCTAAGCCCGGTTCTCATTCTTTTCTTTCTATTTTGATGTACTCTCCCGGGCTGTTAGGCCTGGTTTTTTTTTTTTATAAGAACTAGTAATGAAATGTTCCTCTCTTTTTTTTGCTAAGTGTTGTGTGATTTACTCTTTTGCCGAAGTGACTATTTCACTCGAACTGTTAGAGCTAAGTGCCCGAAGTTGGGTTTCTCGACTATCGTTACCCCGAGTTGTCTCCTAGTACTTGGTAGGGATGATTTCATAATGTACACCGAGGTGACCAACATAGCGAGCATATGCCCAACCTGTATGCACCTAGGTTACTTAAGTTGAAGTCGGTTATCCCTAATGGGTCCAACTTGTATACCGGGACGGGCTATGCATCATAGGATTCACACCCGAGCTGCCTGTGCCTTTGGTATTAATACTTAGCCTATGTCGATGAAGTGGTTAGGTCTTATACGATGTTCGGGTCTTCGTTAGCTCGGCGTTTTAGCCCTTGGGCTGGGGGAGTGACTTATGGTCCACTCTCCTAGACTTCGCCTATGCCATAGAGGCGACTGGGTCTTATAGTGCCGAGGTCTTCATTAGCTCGGCATATTGGCCCTTAGGCTCGAGGAGTGACTATGGTCCACCCCCTTTTGGAGTTCGCCCATACCGAAGAGGCGACTGGGTCTTATAGTGCTGAGGTCTTCGTTAGCTCGATGTATTGGCCCTTAGGCTAGAAGAGCGACTTGTAGTCCACTCAGCTCAGTGATTACAAGTAATACTGCCTTAAGTTGACAATATTCCATGCTTGAGGTACTTGTTTACCTTTTAGGGTTTCGAGCTCGTACGTTCCTTCCCCGAGCACCCGCTTTACTAGGTAGGGTCCTTCCCAATTCGGCCCGAGCTTACCAACACCGGGCTCAGGTACCATGACTTTACAAAGAACCAAGTCTCTGACGCGGAGGTTCCGCTTTTTGACCTAGGCGTTATAGTACCGAGCTACTCTTTATTGGTAGGTCGCGGTCCCAATGTATGCGAGGTCTCGTACCTTGTTAAGTAGGTTGAGGTTGGTGCGTAGCTCATCTTCGTTTGTTTCGTCATCATACACTTCTAGACGTAGTGTGGGAACCTCGATCTCGGTTGGGATGACTACTTCAGTGCCATAAGTGAGGTTGAAGGGAGTCTCGCCTGTTGTGGTATTTACCGTAGTTCGATAAGCCCATAGTACACTGGGTAGCTCATCTACCCAGAGTCTCTTAGCTCGGTCGAGGCGTACCTTTAGTCCGCGGAGAATGGCTCTATTCGTGACCTCCGCTTGACCGTTTACTTGAGAGTGTGCTACCGAGGTGAAATTTCGTTGAATTCCCATATCTTTGCACCAGTTCTAGAATTTAATATCCTTGAACTGCTTACCATTGTCAGAGATCAGTACTCGGGGTAGTCCGAAATGGCACACTATATTCTTCCAGAAGAAGTTCTGCACATTCCATGCTGTGATCGTTGTGAGAGGTTCAGCTTCTACCCACTTAGTGAAATAATCAACTGTAACCACTAAGAACCTCCTCTACCCTGTCGCTGGCGGAAATGGTCCGAGTATATCGATCCCCCATTGTGCGAAAAGGCCATGGGCTGGTGAGATACTTCAGGTCGGCGGTAGGCTGGTGATGGATGTTGGCGTGCTTCTGGCACTTGTCACATCTTCTGACAAGCTCGATCGCATTTGTCTTCATTGTTGGCTACTAGTATCCCTGTCGTAGCGCTTTCTGGGCGAGAGCCCTGCCCCCCAAATGTCCACCGCACAGGCCTCCATGAGTGTCGTGGAGCACGAGCTTGGCTTCGGAAGGTCGCAATCAACGCAGATAGGAGAGCGTGTAAGATCTTCGGTACAACCGTTTCTATCA